TTAATATTATTTTATATAAGTTATTTATTATATAATAATTATATAATACAAATAACAAATTAAAGCTAATTAAGTTTTCAACTGAAAGATAATTTAATCAATAGTTTGTTAATTATTAATATTAAAAATTATCTTTTTATTTAATAAAATATTAAATTTATGTAATATATATTTTAAAAATATAAATTAAGATGTAATAAATATATAATTTTATCATAAATTTACACAAAAAATAATAAAAGTTAACATTTATTTGAATATTATTGTCGTATAAATAGTTTTAATTAGTTAATTAATTAAATTTAAATTAATTTTTATTATTTTTAATATGTATTAATTATAAAAAGATACATTTATTATACTTTATAGCAGAGAATAAAAAATTTCATAAATGAAAGCATATCAAATATGCATGACATAAATCAATAGAAAGCAAGGTAATTAATGAAAAGAAGAGGACAGCCCTGGGCCTCATCATCACTTTTTCCTACCATAAATACCAAATTAATTGATTAAGCTTGTAATTATTGGCTCAAAAATCATATTGTAATTTTATGCCTACTCCCATGAAATTGCAAATTAAATTTTTATAAAATTAATAATTTTAATAATAATAAATAAAAATATTTAAAAAATATACTTATTTATTTTTTAAACATGTCTTTATTAGTCATTTAATGTTAAACAATAACCGTTAACTATTGTATAACCAAACAGTTATATTTATCGAATCCATTATTTATCATCTGCTACTCACTTTTTGTTATCCATAATTCACTATCCATTAACTATCATCCGTTACCCGCTATCGCTATCTACTACTCGCTACTCGCTATGTGCTGAATTTTAACCATTGTACTAAACAGACCTATAAATACACATTGATGGTGGGGAGGTAGAAGCAACTCTATCATCAAAAGAAACTATTGTTATCATAATTATTGTCATGTACAGTTGTGGTAACTACACATGACCCTAATGGTTTAAACTAAAACACCATCAAGTTTGATTTAATACTCACTGTATAAGTAGTTTATTAGCAGCTGGATTCGTTTATTTTCCTAAAGTTAGTTCATTGGCCTTGAATATTTTCAACAATAACTAGACTAATGCAGTGGTTAGGATTTTAATTAGCTTATAGGAAGTTGAAAGGAATTAAAGCCAGCATATACAAAGGGAAGGATTGATATTGGAGACACAGCCATCAAAATTGACAATTAAAATTGACTCCTTTTAACCTGATGCTCTACCTAATAAATTATTGGAGATTGTTTTATGATAACTGGTCCTTAAGTAAATAGTATAAACAGTTACTTTCTTTTTTTGTGTGGTTATAAAATTATATATATCTAATCAACTTTAAATTTGAAACATATGATTTACATAAATAAAATAAATTCAATTGTTGGTTTTAAATATAATATAAATTGTACAAAAAAATTATAAATAACTAATATAAAAATTTATATGTGCTATACCAATATAATTAAATCTTGATTATTTTTTAATATTTTTCTTGCTGAATAAAATTATTATGTCTTAAGAATTAGTCACTAAGAATGACACGATACATTTATTTGGTTTCTAAATACATTCTATGTTTTTGAAAAGTTAAATACCTTTTTTGGTCCCTCTATTATAAAAAAAAAACTTTTTTTTTTATTCTTATACCAAAAAAATCCTTTTTTTTTGTTCATAAATTTTAAAATCTGACCGCTTTTTAACCCCTCCGTTAAAATTTTGCTAACTTGTCATGTTAATTAATAGAAACATCTAGCATGACTATTTTAGAGTGTGATATGGCAATTTCAGAGTATGACATGGTTATTACATAGTGTAAAAATGCTTACACGTAAAAATAAAAAACCCTAAAATGAGACCCATATTCTAAAGTTTTCCATTTTTTTCAATTCCCTTTTGAATATCATCTTCCTTTTTTCAAAATTCTTTTTTTTCATTCATAATCAATTCTTTATATGTGAGATTGATCAATATAACTGATAATTTCAAATTTTCAACCTTTTCTTCTAGTTAAATCTAGGGCATAAATGAAAAGATTTATGAAGTTAATAGTAACATAAACACAACATGAACTTATCCTTTGCAGTTTCAAACTCAAACATCAAACATGATTTGGGTTTTGCAATGAACCTGAACTTAACATTTCTAATTCAAAACTGAATATGAAAATTTATTTTCATTTTGGATAGATACACTTAAAATAAAAAAGAAAAAATCAGAACCCAACACTGGGCTTGCGCGAAACCAAGATCTGGTTCCCCTGTGGAACCTAGTGTTGGGTTCTCCTGCGAACCCAATGATGGGCTTCGAGAGGAACCCAGACCTGGGTTTGTACGAAACCCAGCTCTGGGTTCCTTGTTAACCCAATGCTGGGTTTCATGAGGAACCCAAATTTGGGTTCCTTGTGAACCCAGCACTAGGCTCGTGTGAAACCCAGATCTGGGTTCCCTTGTGGAACCCAGCGCTGGGTTCTCCCACGGACCCAATGTTGGGTTTCGAGAGGAACCCAAACCTAGGTTTGTGCGAAACCCAGCTTTGGGTTCCTTGCTAACCCAGTGTTGGGTTCCTTGTGAACCTAGCATTGGGTTCCACGAGGATCCCAAGATGATGAATATGATTTCGAAGAAGAAGAGGAAGAAGAAGATGAAAAGATTATAATTAATTATGTTTAATTCATAAATTAATAAAGTAAAATTTTTAATTTGTATAAGTGACACAAAATATTCAGATAAAGTGTTTATATGTATTTATAATTTTGTTCACGTCATTTATAATTGTTTACATGTCATTTATAATATTGTTTATATAAAAAATAATGAAATAATTTTGTTAATTACCATGACAGGTCAACAAAATTTTAATGGAATTACTAAAAAGAGATTGAATTTTAAAATTTAAGGATTAAAAAGGGAATTTTTTTGGTACAGAGATCTAAAGAGGGCTTTTTCCTATAATAGAGGGACCAAAAATGGTATTTAACCTATTTAAAATTGTCCCAATATTTTAAACTTTTAAAAATAAAATTTTGTAGAAAACAAAAATTAATGTACCATATTTAACATTTTCCCAAAGTTTAGGGGGCCAACTATACCCTTTCCATCACTAAATCCCGTCCGGACTGTCCTCGTCAACGTGGGATGCTCAAATCAATCATGTCAACATGTCATCGTCTGCTTCATCATCTTCCAAGCTTAATGCGCTCCGTACGTTGAATTATATGCATGCTTGTTTTGTCTTTTCTCTGTCCCGTAGAATTAAAAATTATAAAATATTATTTTTAAAA